TCTCTCTCTCTCTCTATCTATCTATCTCTCTCTCTCTCTCTTGATATATTAATATTCTTTCTCTTTGATCTAATGTGCACGTTTTATAATAACATTATTTTATACATGATAATAATATTATGATAACTACATTATACATGTAGTGGTCTTTCTTTATACCGGTACTGTGTATTGTGTAGGCCTTTAGCGTATTTCCACCGTCGTGTCTTCATGCTATGTAGCAGAGAGCCAAATTCCTTTCAGCGTCGGTAAGGCAACGACGAATGCCAAATAATTAGAAACCACCTGAAAAAAATATCAAAAACATTAGCCCCTCCTACACAGACAAGAAGAATTTAGCTCACTCACACTCACACACACACTCACACACAAATAAAATTAATAAGAAAAACAACGAGCGAATATTTGGCTCCACGGAATGTTCTCGTCAAGTAGCGCATGCGCAAAATGGAAGCCAAGAATATACCGACCAATCAACGGGAGGTTGATTTATTTTTAGTAACACAGACAGAACGTAAACATTGGCACGCGAAAGAATCCAGAAACTACGAGAGTGTGTAGAAACGCATCTAGCCTACTTTCATACATTTGCTCGATTCTTCACGATGATTCTAGCTGTTCACTGGGCTAGGTATAAAACAAAGCGCACGGCTCTTACCCCAGCAATCCAGCAATCATTGCGCTTAAGCCAAAGGAGAGAACAGTATTTTGGAAAAGGCCAACCGTACCGAGTGCTTTTCAAATAGCGCTGAAGTGAAAGTGAAAGGCGTTGGTGAACAGTCTGAACAGCAGTAGGCTAGTGAAGACAGAGGAAGTTTTCAGATCAGAAAAAGTACCAGTAGATCTATAAAGGTAAGTCAGACAGTTATATCATATTAATATTAAATAAAAGACATATTTTTGCTTAACTTGTTCTTATTTTGCAAACGTTAAATTACATATAAATATTTTTTAGTTAGAGTTCTACGGCACTTGCAACACAATAAGGTCATAAGTGCCGAAGATTAATTAGATAGGTGTTACAAGAGAGTAACAAACACGAAAAAAAAGGAGGGAAGATAAAGACGATATATAGATGTTTGATAGGAAAAAAGAAGCAAACCACACCAGAGCACCCACCAACCACCTGACTTGCATTAATGTAGATATCTATCTAGATTCACTTTCACAGTAGCGGCTCTGGCGCAGTTTGATAACTTACTTAAATTATTATCAGAGTCAGAGGCCTAGCAATGTAAACGTAGCTGCTCTAGGTCCCTTATAGCTGTTATTTTATTGTTAGGCCTATTGTTATTAGCATGCTTTATTATTATATTTCATTTTTAAATTTAAATTCCATTTTCTATTTTGATCTTTTCTTTGTATGCAATTCCAGTTTTATTTATAATTTAGGCTTCAGGACTAGATCTAATATCTAGATCTAGATCTAATCTTCATAACTTACTATAGGCTACTTTTAAAAATAAGTCGTTGTAAATTGCAACTCCATTGATTGAATATATAAATCTATATATATGTATCATGTATTATCAAATAATTAATTATTTCGAATTAAAGCCCTTGGTAGATTTAACCTTGCAAAGGCCTGGGTAGGCCCTATAACAACGGTGATAAATTCATGCTGTGTATCGTCATAGTTTCTGTTAGAATTACATTTGTTTTTTGTGACCTAGGCTTTTTAAAGTGCTTTTTGTAAGATTATGATTTCTTTTCATTTATTCAGTCTCTCTCTCTCTGTTTTGCTTTTCCCCTGTGCTAAGTTACGAATATGTCAATATGTGTCAATGTGTTTCTCTTTACTTTAGCAAAACAAACAAATGGGCACAGAGCACTGCTGCTACAATAAAAAGACACCAAGCTATTACCTAATGTACCAGTTTGCAATATATACATTTTAAATTTCTGTTTTTGTTTTTTCTTCGACAGACAAGATGGCGAAGGCTCCAGCTATCGGCATTGACCTGGGCACAACGTACTCGTGTGTGGGCGTATTCGAGCACGGAAAAGTGGAGATCATTGCAAACGATCAGGGCAACAGAACCACACCGAGCTACGTGGCTTTCACCGACAGTGAGAGGCTCATTGGTGATGCTGCCAAAAATCAAGCTGCGCTGAATCCGGCCAATACCGTGTTCGATGCCAAACGACTCATTGGGAGAAAGTTTGACGATAAGACAGTTCAGGATGACATGAAGCACTGGCCCTTCAAAGTGGTGGAAGTGGATCATCGGCCCAAAATTCAAGCAGAATACAAAGGTGAGAACAAATTGTTTGCTGCTGAGGAAGTGAGCTCCATGGTTCTGACAAAGATGAAGGAGACCGCGGAGGCGTTTTTGGGGAAGAAAGTGACCGATGCTGTCATCACGGTGCCTGCGTACTTCAACGACTCTCAGAGGCAAGCCACCAAGGATGCCGGCGCTATCGCTGGACTTAACGTGCTGCGCATAATTAATGAGCCCACTGCTGCCGCTTTGGCGTACGGGCTGGACAAAGGACAAAAGGGAGAGAAGCATGTACTGATCTTTGACCTGGGTGGGGGCACGTTTGACGTCAGTGTCCTCGCCATCGACGAGGGGTCAATATTTGAGGTCAAGGCTACGGCTGGAGATACACATCTGGGAGGGGAGGATTTCGACAACCGACTGGTCGCTCATTTCATTCAAGAGTTTAAGAGGAAACACAACAAGGACATCAGCAAGAACGCCCGAGCCATTCGCCGGCTCCGCACGGCGTGTGAGAGAGCCAAGAGGACCCTGAGTAGCAGCTCCGAGGCCTCCATCGAGATCGACTCTCTCTTTGAGGGCATCGACTACTACACCAAAGTGTCTCGAGCCAGATTCGAAGAGTTGTGCGGCGACTTGTTCCGGAACACTCTTGAACCTGTGGAAACAGCTCTCCGAGATGCGAAGCTCGACAAGGGGAAAATTGATGAAGTCGTCTTGGTGGGAGGCTCAACTCGAATCCCCAAAATCCAAAAACTTCTGACGGACTTTTTCAACGGCAAAGAACTGAACAAGTCGATTAACCCTGACGAGGCCGTGGCTTATGGCGCTGCGGTTCAGGCTGCTGTTCTGACTGGGGACACGAGCGAGACCATCCGAGATGTCCTGTTGGTCGATGTGGCGCCTCTTTCCCTCGGGATCGAGACAGCTGGCGGCGTGATGACGTCTCTGGTCAAACGAGGAACGACGATTCCCACGAAGACGTCGCAGACGTTCACGACGTTCTCCGACAACCAGCCCGGTGTGGACATCCAGGTGTACGAGGGCGAGAGATCCATGACCAAGGACAACAACCTCCTCGGGAAATTTGAGCTGTCGGGAATCCCACCAGCCCCACGAGGGATTCCACAAATAGATGTGACCTTTGACATTGACGTGAACGGAATCCTGAATGTCACTGCAAAAGAAAAGAACACGGGAAAGACGAACCAAATCACCATCAAGAACGACAAGGGCAGACTCAGCCAGGCAGACATCGATCGCATGCTGGCGGACGCGGAGAAATACAAGGAGGAGGACGAGAAGCAGAGAGAGCGAGTGAGCGCCAGGAACCAGCTGGAGAGCTACATCTTCAACGTGAAGCAAGCAGCCGAGGCTGCAGCAGACAAACTGGCATCCTCCGACAAAGACGCGGTGCTCAAAGCGTGCGACGATGCTCTCAAGTGGTTGGACAATAACTCGCTCGCCGAGAAAGAAGAGTTCGAAGATCGTCTGAAGGAGCTGCAGAAGACGACGTCAGACATTATGGCCAAGTTGCACTCCCAAGGTCAGAGTGGACAGTCTGGGGCAGGTCAAGGTCAAAGTGGGCCCAATGTTGAGGAAGTCGACTGAGTTCTGAGTTAGGAAGGATTTTTTTCCTGTTTTGTGAACTCTTATTTCATAATATAACTATATTGACCTGGTGATGTCTTTATACAAGAAATTTCTTCTCCCGTGTTAAGTTCACTCTTTTTGAAGATGTTCCATGTTTGTCAAATTTTCCACAAATCTGTTCCTGTTTGTTAGACCTTGGAATCTGAACAGTTTTAAAAAATGTAAAAGATATTCTCTGTTTCTAATTTATTAGAAAATATTGACAATAATAATGATAAAACAATAATAGTAATAATAATATATAGCACATACATATTACAAAGTCCTGCTCAACAGTAAGCTGTATGCACTTTACAATCTGTACCCCAGCAGACGTGATCGCCTTGTGAAACAATGATGACGAGTCTGGTAGCCAGACCACGAGACTACTACATGTACTTCTTACCAGTATTTTACCTCCACGCCCCCCCCCCCCCTCCAAATTCTTTACTTATTTACTTTCCCTGTTGTTCTATTCATTCCACTCCCTTCCAATACTTCTATTCAAATTGTGTCCACAATATCTGCCCCTACACATGAAGACTGGGACACAATATCTGCCCGTGCACATGAAGATTGAGACACAATATCTGCCCGTGCACATGAAGTTGAGATACAGTATCTGCCTGTGCACACGAAGGATGAGACACAATATCTAATATGTATCACGTTTGTGTATGAAATTATTTATGTTCAGGAGTGAGGCCATTAAGACATCTTAATGTTATAGGGCTACTGCTGCCTATAAAATCACATCTTTTATTGTAACAGATTAGTTGTACAGCATGTGTGTGGCCATTAAAAGGACTTAATTAACGTTATACTTACTTATATATACTGCTGCCTGTGAAATCCCATCTTTTACTGACAGATCAGCTGTACATCATGTGTGTGTGGCTCAGTTAATGTAGCTGTGTTTCTTTCTTCCTCTTAGTCTTACTACATGTTGCAGTGTTTGTTTTCAGGACAGGAACATTCTCCATGTGTACTTCTACTTGTAGTTGTTTTTGCTAACCTTTGATCACTTGGTATTACGGACTTGTTTCTTTTGCTTACTAAAAATAAACTTGTTGAACTGATAATATCATTGTTTGTTTTTTAATTTAGAAATTATCGTATTGTGTTCAGTCTGTGAGTGAATGGAGAGTATGAAATGTTTTAAAAGTGTCAATGCTTTCTGTTCTTCCTGTGTTTACCTTCTTGTTGTTGTTGTTATTGTTGAACATTATCGTCCTGATCTCTCTTCCTTCTTTTTTATGTTTGTTACTCTCTTATAAAAAAGTTCACCTCTCATCTTCGGCACATATATGACGGTATTGTGTTGCAAGTGCTGTACTCTTACTAAAATTTTTGTTGTTGTTGTTCTTTCTTTTCTCGTCTTCTTCTTCATGGGTGGTTGGCGGATGTTTTAGTGTGGTTTGCTCCTTCTTTCCTATCAAACATCCATGGTCCTGATCTCTCCTCCTTCTTTTTGTGTACTGTATGTTACTCTCTTGTAACACCTCTAATCTTCGGCATTTATATGACCGTATTGTACAGCAAGTGCCGTAAAACTCTTACTAAAATATCTGTCTTTCATCGCCCTTCCTTCTTTTCTTTACTTTGTTAGTCACTTTCTAGTAACACCTCTAATCTCCGGCGCTCATCTTATAACATTAAATCCTGACCAATTTGTGTTGTACGGACTGTAGGTGTGAGATCTGAAACGGACATTGGGGATCGTTGTTCATCTCTCATTTTTCTCTTACGATGCTCTTCTTTTTTTTATTTTTCAAAGCAAGAATAAATAGATTCCTAAATCAATCAATAAAAAAATAAAAACCTTTTAGTTTCCTCATTTTAATGTTTATTTTAATTGTTCGGTCCAGTATCTGTTCAAGTTTTGGGTGGGACAAGATGACTTGGTCACCTGGTGGGTCCTAA